TCTCTCTCTCTCTCTCTCTCTCTCCCTCCCTCCCTCCCTCCCTCCCTCTGCAGGCACATACATGCTACTGTGATGTGTGGAGGTCAGAGGACAGCCCAGTGTGGATATTTGCTTCCACCTTGTTTGAAAGCGAATCTCTTGCTCACCGCTGTGTGCTCAGGCTAGCTGGCCCCTAGGCTTCCAGAAGTCCTCCTGTCTCAGCCTCCCATCTCTACCCATAGGAGTGCTGAGATTACAGACACTGGAGATACTTGTCTATCCACCTTTACTTGGGTTCTGGAGATCTGAAGTCTGGTCCTCATGCCTGCTTTAAAGCACTTTATGCACCGAGCTATCTCCCGGACTCTATTTTCCCCCACTTTTTACACTTTTCAAGCTTAAGACTGGCTGGGGTTCCCACCTCAGCAGCCTCACCAGGAGGAAGGTATTCGAAGCTCACTGTCCAGCCCGGGGGTGGGATATGTGCTCCAAAAGGGCCATCAGATTCCTTGCAACTACTCAAGTCACCGATTGGAGCTTCTCCTTTACATCAAGGAACAGTGGATTTTTTTTTATCTCCCTTCATTTCTCCCGTTATTTTCCTCAGGGTAAATCCCCCTTGGAAAAGAATTGTTAGGTCAGAAGATATGCACCAGGGCCAGGCTTTTATACAGTGCCAGTTGCTCTCTGATAAGACTGAATCTCAGTTTATTCTGCTTTTCCTGCCTCTCAACACCCTAATAAACCACCCAGAGTCTTGCGATGAATCAGTCACCAGACCAGATAAACAAGCCGGCCTGCGCACTGGTGCTGTCTGCTCCCAAGGAGGGAACTCCCTTGGATCCCACCCAGGCCCTGGAATTCCACAGCACCAGGCCAGGCATCTTTGTACCCCTGCCCCCACGGGCCCAGGTCTTACCCTGTTCTCCTTTCCCCGCCCTGTGCCGGGTGGAGCTAGCTGCAAAGGCGGCGACTTCGCACACAGCCCAGCCTGTGTGCAGGGCCCAAAGCTGAGACCCAAAGGGACCCAGGCAGAGCCGATGAAGACGCTACTGACCATCGTGGCTGTGGGATTCCTGGCTGGTGAGTGTCCCTACCCAGACCTCCCGACCTCAGCAGCAAGGAAGGAGGGCTGCCTCCCCACCCTCCGTGAGCCCCAACACAGTTTCATTTTCTTCCCTTCTGGCACTGGTTTGGGTACATGGTTCTCCTGGAGACAGAGACGGCCTCTGTTTGCCAAGGAGGACAAGAGGATGCCTCAGACCCTGGGTTCTTGCAGGGATCCAATTGACCTTCAAATATGGGGGCATTGGCCAACTGTCTAAACTGGGGGTGCTGGATCCCCACCCACAGTGGGTTGAGGCTGGTCCTGGGGGAAGTGGACATCCTTTGGTCCCCCTAGTGGTTTCCTCTGCTTCTAACCAAGAAGGGAGACACAGGCTGGACACAGCTGGAGTTAGGCCATTGCCTCTCTCCATCTCCTATGGGGTCTCCTCAGGCCCCTCGGGTTGGGTGAGAAAGAGCATTTTCTCCCTGGAACAGTCAGGTGGGTTGTAAGAACATCAGTCCTGCAAACAGAACTAAGGAACATTGCCATCAAATTCAATAGGGTGAATTTTGGGGTTCACACTTGTGAAAGCTTCATGTAAGACCCTGGGTTGCGTCTGTTCTTCCGAAATGGAGCCCAGGGGAACTCCCTCGGGAGTTCATCAGCTCAGGCTGTTGGAAGGAGGTGACTACATCTCCACACTGACCTTCATGCTTTAGGGCAGAGTGGAGTCCCTGAAGGGACAGACCTGACCAGGCTGCTGTCTTCAGACTACTCCGACTGTACCCTTAGCCTCTGTGGGGCTTCCCTCACACTCCAACCTGTGAGAGTCTGGGGGGATCAGACGCAATCCCTAAAGTATATTGCTTTACCCCCAGCAATTGTGGTGGGGAACCCCAGAGCCCCTGATCCTTTAAGATGGGGACCCAAGAAGCAGCCCTGAGGAGACAGGTCCCTCATCATAGCTACAGACCCAGCTCTCAGGCTCCACGATTGGTTGGCTGTGCATTTCTCCTTGGCTTCCCCGCTGCTTGATACATTGTTTGTCCACACCAAAGTGAAAACTTGTCTTTTATAAAGTGGCTAGACAGCCAGGCTCCCAACCACAAGTCTCGTTTCCCAGGTTTCACAATGTAGACTTTCAACCAGGAAGTGAAGGATGACAGGCTGGGAAAGCAGACGGATTTGGGGAGGGAATGAAGAAAAGCAAGAGGCCTCATTAGCCCCTGAGTGTCCCCTAAACTAGGAGGGGCTCAACCAAGATCCATCTAACCCACTTCAGGAAGCCCACTTCGGTTCCTTTAATTATTTTACCACTGGGTGCACACCTTACCTACCCCCCGAGCCCTGGCCTGCAGCAGAGGCTAATCCACCAGGAAGAGAGGCCAAGCTTACCCTCATACAGACCCCTTCCTCTCAAATTCCACTCTCTTTCCCTGAGGCTCCCTCCCACACTCACTCCAGAGACCAATGTCCAAGTTTGCTTCCTTTGATTGGCCTCCTAGCAGCCTAAGACCTGGCCCTGCAACCTAGGACCCTTCAGAACGGGTCTCAATCCTGCCCAGCCTGGGATCCAAGCAGGATGTCATTCCCTCCTCTGGGCTCAGCAACACAGTCCCAGCACTGGATACTGGCAGTGGAAGTCCTCCCACACCATCCCCAAGGTCCCACTGTGTGGAGAACCTTGAAAACAAAGATTGCCACAGCTCCTGGGCCAGACTGACCCAGATTAAGAAAGGTGTAGTCAGGAGACCGGCAGCAGGGTTGGGCTGTCCCCCACATTCTGCCCACCCCCACCCCCGCAGCCTATGGATCCCTCTTGCAAGAACACTATTTGCAGACGCGGAGTGTGGAAATGGCTATGCTGGCCTCACTCACATCCTGGGCCTGCTGGTGACTGTGCTCATGTCTCGGGGTGAGAGGCACATATGCATCATGTGCACACAAGGCCTCAGGCCTTCACTCAACTAGGTCTGCACCTGCTTCTTTCCCACCCCTACCAACCAGGCTGTTCCAAGCATGCTCAGAGCTAGGGCCAGCTGTGCCGCCATTTTCTTACGCTTTCTTCCTAACCACAGGGCAAGCTTGGAGGGCAGAGGGAAGAGTCATGTAAGCCAAGGGCTCTTCACTGACAGGGAGGGATGCTGCTTCGGAGGCTGCAGCCCCTTCCATCTTTCCAGGGCCCAAGCCTGTCCCGTCCTTTTTCTTTAAACTTCAGTAATCTGGGCAAAGTCTAGGCTAGAAGTGATGGATTCTGACAGGTTTGGTTTGGGTTTTGGGTTTTGTTTTGTTTTTCAGCACCAGGGGTTGAAGCCAGGACCCCATGCATGTTAAGCACATGCTCTATCACAGCTACAACCCCCAGTCTCTTGTGAATTCTTTAAAAATTGTCTTCTTCCCTCCTTCCACCTCCCACCCTTGCTGAACCCCCCCAGTGGGGGCACCAGTTCATCAAGGCCCCCTTCCACAGTCACTCTCGCTTTCCTGGCTCCTCCCCAACTCTCAGCACATGCAGAGATCCCAAGGTATTGGCCACCTTCACAGACCTTGCCCCACTGCTCAAGCCTGCAGCCTATGTAGCCCTGTGACCCTGTCACATGATAATTGTGAGCCTGGTCAGTAGCCCTCAATGGACCTCAGTTTTTCTCATCCATGAAATGGGAACAGCAGTAGTCACCATCTCATCAGGGTGAGTGTCCACTGAGCCGAGAGGCCTGGGCCCAGACCTGGTCACTAGCACGCCCTTCCTGAGTGCAGTCTGTCGCTAAGTAAGTGGAATTGTTCCCATTCTAGACATGAGGAAATTGGAGTTATAATTGCTTGAACAATTTCCCCACAGTCACCCTGCTCATATGTCAGCATCCTGCCCCCTGTGAAGGCTGAGTGCAGGAGGTGTCTGTTTTTGACTGTAGGAAGGCAACGTGGATGGTGGGCAGGGACTGGCATGAAGAGAGACCAAGATTCACAACACCTCCTCCACCTCTGCATGAAGTGGTTGACTTTGAGCATGTGATTTCTTAGGCATTTTAGGTGAAGAACTATAAAATAAAAAAGAATTAAGGATGTGTAGAAATGGGGAGGGATGAACTTTAATATGGTGTAACCACTTTAGGAAACAATTTGGCAATTCCCCCAAAAGTTAGGCGTAAGGATTGGGGCTGTAGCTCAATGGCAGAGCGATCACCTATTATGCCCAAGGACCTGGGTTCCAATCCCAGCCCTGCAGAAAATAAATAATTCAATCACATTAAACACAGAGCTACACAGAAGTGCCACTGAAAGGTACGTACCCAAGGGAATTGGAAACATGTGTCCACTTAATATTTTTTGCATAAATGATCACAGCAAACCTGGGTGTGGTGGCGCATGTCTTTAATTCCAGCACTCTGGAGGCAGAGGCAGGCAGATGAATCTGTGAGATCGAGACCAGCCTGCTCTACATAGTGAGTTCCGGGCCAGCTGGGGCTACAGGGGAGACCCTGTCTCAGAAAACAAAAACAAATGGTCACATCAGCATTATTCAAAATAGTAGGAGAAAATGGAAACCCAAAAGTCTGTCAACTGATGAAGTGGTTAAACAAAATGTGGTACATCCAGTCAGTGGAGCATTATTCAGCCATAAACAGGAAATAAGCATTCACATGTTATGGATGACCTTGAAAACATGTTGGGTTTAGAAGCCAGACATAAAGAAACCAAAACTGGAAAGCCCAGAATTGGAAAAGTCCAAAAAGAAATAATAGACTTGTGATAGCCAGGGACTGGGGGAGGCCGGGAGGCCTGGGCCATGACCACTAATGAGTATGTAGTTTCTGTGGCGAGTGAGGAACGTGTTCTAGAATTAGGTAGTAGTGACAGTTGCACATGTTTTAAGAAGACATTGAACAGAACACTTTCAAATGGTGAATGCCATGAAGTGTTAACGATAGCCATAAGTAGGAGGGCAAGACATTGAGCAGTGCTGGAGAATGGGGTGCATGTCCGTGCCCCTCTGCTTGGAAGACTGGGGCCTGTGGTCTCATGTCCACTCACCCTGCTCCCTCCTGCAGCTGAGGATACATCCAGTCTTCAATACGTGAAATTCCAGTCCAGCAACTTTGAAAACATCTTGACGTGGGACGACGGGCCAGAGAGCATCCCAGGCACGGTCTACAGCGTGGAGTATAAGAGGTAGGTGTTTCACTCAACCTGACCCTCCCCTGACCCTGCTCTCCAGCCCCCACCTCCAGGATGCCCCCTACTCTGAATGTTCTCAACCAAGCAGAGCTGTGCTTCTTGGAGGGAAGAAGAGAAAATGGGGCTTAATGGTGCTAGAAGTAGAGTCAGACTGCTAGGCATGAAGGCCAGTTCCAACCCATGTAACCGTGAGCAGGCAAGGATACCTCTCCCAGCCTCAGTTTCCCCATCTATACAGTAAGGATAGTGATATTACCTTCAACGCAGGATCTCAGGAGGATTAAGATGTCACTAGCACTTATGGCACATGATAGAACACTAGTAACTGTCTGATTGTTGTTGGTGAGCCTAGGTCTACAGACGCCATGCCTGCCCCATCCAGCCCATTCCCAAACTCCAGCTCATCCACAACCCCAGCTCTGTTCCTGGTCCTGCCTTGTGGCAGATTGTGCTCTCTGAGCCTTGATTTCCTCATCTGTAAAGTAGGGATCATACACTTCTAACCCTTGGCCAAGGTGCTCTCCTTTGAGTTCAGCTTCCCTGTTTCAGAATAATGTCCGCACATACCCGGAGGGCCATTGTTAGCTGACCACAGTGTCCACACAGATGGCCTCAAACAGAGAAGGCGCTGAGTACTTATCAGATTTTTTTATCATTATTAGTAAACACCGGCCTGGAAGAGCCATTCATTTATGGTGTGCCCACCCTTGCCTACAGGTATGGAGAGACGGAGTGGCTGGCCAAGGAGGGCTGCCAGCGGACCACCCAGAAGTCTTGCAACCTGACCATGGAGACGAGCAATCTCACCGAGCTCTACTATGCCATGGTCACAGCCTTCAGCCCAGGAAGCCTACTAGACAGCAAGCGGTCCGATCGCTTCAGCTCACTGCAACACAGTGAGTAGGCGCCATGCTCACTTCCAGCAAAGGGAAAGGAGGGCACTGTGAGGGGAGGGGAGGGCACTGTGAGGGGAGAGGGGGGCACTGTGAGAGAGAGGAGGGCAGATCATTTGGGGGTGAAGACAGAGGCCTCAGATCTGGAGTGGATGTAGAGCCCAGAAGTTCTCTGTACATGGGCATGTTGGGGATGCGGCTTTCAGGGAAGGTATTTCTGACCAGGGCGCACCCGGGGGGGGGTTATTTCTTTCCCCACGTCCACCCCCACCCTAGTCTGGAGGAGCCCCCCTCACCACCACAACCATGGCTGCTAATTCATTTCCCCACTCCCTGCACCCCTCACCCATCCTCACCATGTAAAGCCCTCTGTGGTGAGTCTTAGGTAAGGTCCAGCTCTTTCCTGGGGCTGCAGGCCCTGCCTAGGCCAGTCCTTGGGTGGAAACTGTGCTCTGCACATCTCAGCCTCTGAAGGTGCCCATGATGCTCTCCATGCCTGAGGGCTCCTTCCCAGTTCCTTGGGGGAGGAGGGGAGGGTTCAGCTCAACACAGATGCCCAAGAACCCCAGCCCATGCTCAATCATGGTGACAGGCAGACCTCCATATCTGCAGGTCTGAAACCACAGATTCAACCAAATGCAGGTGGAAACTATTTGAGGGATATATTGCATCTGTATCGAACCTGCCCATACTCTTCTCATCATCACTTAGTACTTACATAGGATTAGGCATTATCCATCACCCAGAGATGATTTACAGTATACAGAGTATGTGCTTAGGCTGTGCACAATACTGGGCCATTCTACCTAAGAGACTAAAGACATGACATCCCAGAACCAATCCCTGTGGACACCGAGGGACCCAGTGCACTATTCACGTCTCTATAGCTCATGTCACAACTGGTGGTGATAGAGTTTGCTTACTGTGCATCCTTAACCTCCCCACACAAAGACTGAGCTCCAAGATACCTGTGGGACCCAGTGTTCCCAGCCTTTAGCAGAGTGCCTATCATGTCAAAGAGACTCCATATAGGATTGAGAGAGAGAGAGAGAGAGAGAGAGAGAGAGAGAGAGAGAGAGATTGGGTGCCAATATAGCCCCATGTAATCTAAGCATGTGCCAGTGTTGACCAACTGACTTATAAAGTCAGTGACTAAGTCACAGTTTTTTGGGGGTTTTGTTTGTTTGTTTTGAGACAGGGTGTTTTACTCTGCAGTCCTGGATTATCCTAGAAATCACTATCTAGCCCAGTCTAATCTCAAAATCATGGCAATCCTCCTGTCTCAGTCCCCAACCTTATCTAATTTCTCATAATCTGGTGTCACTTTCTTGGTTTTGAACTGTTTTCTTTATGGTGACATGAATTTTGTCCATATTATAAACTTTTTCCACAATTTGATATTTCACATCTACCAAATGTTACTATGGCAACATTCTAATTCCCTTACCTAACTCCTTTTTTAGGACATTTATTTTTTAAATTATTTTATTATTTTTATTTTATGTATATGAGTATTATGCCTGCATGTAGGTAAGTGCACCCATGTCGTGCAATGCCCTCGGAGGACAGAAGAGGCTGTCAGATCCCCTGGAACTGGAGTTATGGACAGTTGTTAGCTGCCATGTGGGTGCTGGGATTTGAACCCAGGTCTTCTGAAAGAACAACCAGTGTTCTTAACCATCTCTCCAGCCCCTATTTCCTTTATTTTTAAGATGTCTTTTTTACATTTATTTATTGTGTGTGTATGTGTGTGTGTGTGTGTCTGTCTGTCTGTCTGTCTGTGTGCAAGCATACAGGCGGGAAGACCACAGTATATGGATGGAGATCAGAGGGCAACTTGAGAGAATTGGTTCTTTCTTTCTATCACGTGGGTTCCAAGAGATCTAAATAAGGGTCATCAGGCTTAGTGACAAACACCCTTACCTGCTGAGCCATTCCCACATTTCAATTTCATTGCGGTGAACTTTTTGTTTTTTGAGACAGCTCTCACTATGTAGCCCTAGCTGGCCTGTAACTTGCCATGAAGAGCAGCCTGGCTTCAGCTTCACAGAGATCCACCTGCCTCTGCCTCCTCAGTGTTGAGATTAAAGGTGTGTGTCACCATGACTGGCAGGAGAGAACATTTTTAAAGGAAAACAAATCCTTGTGGAACTTTCATAAATTAGATTCAGGACAAGTGGGGTGCAAAAGCCCTTAAAGTTGGATGCAAGATTTGTGTATGCATATGTCATCAGAGAGAGAAGAGCTATGGCAATCTTCATATTATCAAAATGGTATGAAGGGGCTGGGGAGGGCTCTCAGTGGATCAGAGTGCTTGCTGTGCAAGCATGAGGACCTGAGTTTGAATCCCCAGCATCCACCTAAAAAAAAAAGCCAGGCATGGCTGTGCATCCCTGTAACCCCAGCATTAGATGACAGAGGCAGGTGGATCCTGGGAGCTTACTGGCCAGCCAGAAAAGCTATATGGTGAGCTTCTGATTCAGTGAGAGACCCTATCTCAAGAAAATAAGGTGGAGGGTGATAGAGGAAGACACCTGATGTCCTCTTCCGTACACACACACACACACACACACACACACACACACACTCACTAAAAGGCCATTTAGTTATCTGGAAAGCTCCATCCTGAGAGACCAGAGTCTCAGGCCTGGCTTTGGAGATGAAGCAATAGCATTGGGCCTGGCACTATTTAGAATTTGTAGTTGACTCATCAGGCACCAACACCTCCAAAATTGTAACCACCAACAGACTAAGAGGAAGGTGTTCTGGGTACACTCATGGTGAGGATGCCAGGGCTGGACTGGATGAGAACAGAACCCAGGGCATAACCACCCAAGGACAAGTGTCCCTCTCCTGTCCACCTTCTGTCACCTCTTTACCAGCCTCTCGCCCAGATGCCAGCCACCTTCGAGATCTCTTTTCACATGTTGGTTGATCTGCTGCTTTTCAAAGCATTCTGGACTTTTCTCTCTCCCTTTTCCAGCTACCATCAAACCACCTGATGTGACCTGTATTCCCAAAGTGAGGTCCATTCAGATGCTGGTCCACCCCACATTCACACCTATTCTTGCAGAAGATGGCCACCAGCTAGCTCTGGAGGAGATCTTCCATGACTTATTCTACCGCTCAGAACTCCGTGTCAACCACACCTATCAAATGGTAAGTGTATGTTACATCCCATTCTTCTTTGGAATCTCCCTTCCTCTCAAAAAGACCCAGCTACTTTAAGCAAAGGGGATGTGTTATATAAAACAGCGTTTCCCAAAACATGTCCCACAGGGACTCTGGAAGCCTATCAGGGAATGAGCCACAACCTGCCTCTTCACGTACACAGTAGCAGGCTCAAGGCTCTGACAAGCACTGCAGAGCCAAAACTCCAGTTTTGTATCATGCAGATTTCTCAAATGCATTTGACTAGGGTCTTTTTGTTTGGTTGGTTCATTGATTAATTTCTGCTTGTTTATTTATTTGTGACAGAGTATCATTCTGTAGCTCAAGCTGGTCTGGAACTCCGTATGTAGCCCAGGCTAACCTCGAAATCACAGCAATTCTCCTGTCTCAGTCTTTTGAGTGCTAGGATGAAAGGCGTGTGTCACTGTGCCTGATTCCTAAAGACCTTTATTATTTTTTGCCTAATATCCTCCAACATCCCAGATAGCAATCCTCAGGTGTTCACTTTAGAAAATTCTGGAGTCATGGAGCTAAGGTTTTAGTAGAGTGTTTGCGTAGCATGCACGAAGCCCTGGATTTGATTCCCAATACCACTAACCCAAATGTAGTGGTTCATGCCTGTAATCCCAGTGCTTTGGAATGGAAGCAGGAGGATCAGTTCAGGGCCCTTCTCAGGCAGCAAGTTTGAGACTGGCCTGACCTATATGAGACTCTGCCTCAAAGGGAAAGGGAAAGACTGGAGTGAGTCTCTGCCCCTGCAAGTGTTCGCTGACCCGACACTTGTTCTGACTCTACAGGAACTGTGTACTGGTAGTGACTAAGACAGACGCTAAGTGGAAGGAAAGGTAGAAGGGAAAGCCAGAAACTGTCAATGCTATGCAAATGGTGTCTTTTTATCTTCAGAAAATATGTGGTCTTCCCCCCAGGATGTGCTATGAATCTGATTCAGTTGGATGAATGTGTATTTCCTCCTCTGCAGTTCGTATAAATTCCTCAAAGAGCATATCATCTCGTGGGTGGAGGAGGGAGTTAAAACAAGATTGGGAATAGGCAGAGCGGAATGTCAGCTCAGTGAGATCTAAAAAACTTGCAGAAAACTCCAGGGTTCCATTTTGGAGGCATGCCAGGTTGCCAGTCATCTTCACAGAGCCCCATGAGGCAGCATCTGGCATCTCTATCTTCCAGATGAGAGCACAGAGGTTCAGAGAGGTTAAGACATTTTCTCAATATTGCTCAGCAGATAATAGTGTAGACAGGATCAAAATCCAGCTCTGTTCAAAGACTACTTACCCCTGCGGACCTACACTGTTGCACCATCATCAGAGAGAGAAATCTCCCACTGTTCTTGTTCAAAGCACAGCTCCTGGGGAATCTGTTAGTTTTCTCCTCACTAAGGCTGAATACCCAGTAGAAATAACTTAAGGAAGAAAAGGTTTATTTGGGCTCATAGTTCCAGAAGTGTGGATGAGCACAGCAGGAAGGGTATGGCACAGCAGAGCAGCTCACTTCACAAAGGCCAGGAAGCACTAAAAGGGAATACAGGAAGAGGCCACAGCAAGATCAGGCCTCAAGGACACACGTCCAAAGACCTACTTCCACCAAGTAGGGCCAAACTCCCACCTCGTACCACTTCCTACTGATGCCATCAGAGCATGAGTTCATCAAGGATTGATCCATTCATTAGATGAGAATGCTTATGATGTATTCAGCTCTGGACACAGCCTCACAGACAGAGATGAACTTCTTTATTCTCCTAGGCAGCTCTCAGTTCATCATACTGACAGTTAACCTTGACTACCAGAGGCCTGGAGAGATGGCTTAGTGGTTAAGATCACTGGCTGTCCTTGCAGAGGACCCAGGTTCAGTTTCCAGCACACATATGGTGGCTCACAACCATCTGTAACTCCAGCGCCAAGGGAATCTGATGCCTCTGGCCTCTGAGGACACCAGGCACACATGTCGTGCACATACATACATGCAGGCAAACACTTATGCATGTAAAAAATAAAAATAAATGGATCTTTAAAAAAAAAAAAGATTGCTCGGGCTGGAGAGATGGCTCAGAAGTTAAGAGCACTGGCTGCTCTTGCAGAGGACCCAGGTTCAGTTCCCAGAACACACATGGTGGCTAACAGCTATCCATAACTCCAGTTTCAGGGGATTGGATCCGATGCCCTCTTCTAGCCTCTCTGGGCATTGCATGACATGAGAGCACTTACATACATGCAGGCAATACACTCATACACCTAAGATTGTTCAACACACATACACACATACACACACACACACACACACACACACACACACACACACACACCAGTCTACTCAATTAAATATTTGCAGCTCACACCTGATACCTGAATTTTAATATCCAATCCTGAGGGCCCTTCCTTGTCTTGAAACTTGAGAACCTCAGGTGTGGAGGGACCTTGGGAGACAAACCTGAGAAGTAGGGACTGTGTTGTAGAGGCCTGGGGTGTAGATGGGTGGAGGAATTCAGATCTATTTCAGTCATCAAGGGAACAACAGTTACAGGTTGTTGAACAGGCAGTGCCCTTACCATCAAAAGGAGCCCATTTAATAAATATTTGCACTTTGACTAAATAGTTTATGATTGGACCTGGAGGGATAGTGCAGCCATTAAAGGCTAAGGCTAACAACCAAAATGTTAGTGTATGATTATTGATTTCTAATTGAATTCATTTTGTGGTCCAAGAGCCTGCTCTGTCTGATGTCGGTCCTTTTAAATTTAGGAGGGTCTGTTTTATGGCATGCCATCTGCCCAGCTTGGTGAATGAAGGTGTTGGGGTGCCCTACAAGACCAATGGAGGGGGATCAAGTTCCTCAGAGCTGTATCTTTCCTGATCTGGGACGGGGTCTCTTTTTAGTTGATAAAAGTATTAAACATTTAAGCTATGATTGCGGGTTTGTTTGTTTTTCTCTTAGCTCTGAGTGTTTTTCTGTCTTGCCCTTTGAAACTCTTATTAAGCATAGGCACATATGATTGTCATATATTCTTGATAAGTTGGCCTTTGATCATGACGAAATGTCCTTTTTATCTCTAGTAATACTCATGTTGAAGTTTACTTTGATGTTAATAGTACCACTTGTCTTCTTATAATGTATATGGTATATTTTATAGCTATTTATCATCAACCTGTGTCATATTTTTTTAAAAATCTATGCAGACAATATTCTGACAAAATTTGCCTTTTAGAAATTTTATTTTGTGTGTGTGTGTTCGTGCAGATGTATGTAGGTATGTTCATGCCACGGCATGTATGGGGAGGTCAGAGGACAACTTACAGGATTTGGTTCTTTCTTTTTACTAGGTGGGTTCCGGGGATTAAACTCAGGTTGTCAGGCTTGGGGACAAGTGCCTTTACCCACTGAGCCATCTGGCTGGCCCTCATTCATTATTTTGTTTTGCTGTTAGAAAGAAAATCTGAAGTACAAGGACCCCACCAGTATCTCACAGAGAACTCACAGGGTGAAAGTAACTCAGCAAGGCAGCTTCTACTTTTGCAAAAGGGTGTGTTTGTTGCCTCTTTTGGGTAGGGTAGCAAGCACACCAAGCAGGAAATTTGATAGGTTTTATCCTAACCTTAGAGTACTGTGTCTGTTCTCCATTGGCTGCAGTCTGACCTCACAATCTTTCAAGATCAGCTAATTTTTAAAAGAATTGGCACAAAGGAAATGAAGGAAAGGAGAATGAGATGGGCCACTCTGGGCCATCAAGTTCAAGTTCCAGGGACTCAGCAGGGCCTTTGGGTAAACAAAAAGTTATACAAGGTAGGAAGATTAAAAGACTGAAATTCCTTGTCCTAAACAAAAAAAGATTTGAATTCTTTGTGATTATTTCCCTCACAGCCGATTCAAAATTATAAGGCTAACATTTTGAGGCCATCTTGGGGTCACAATGTTCTCTTTCTTTGTATATATTATGGTTTTATAATCTGTCCTGGATTTATCAGTGATGCATTGAGTGACTCTGGATTCTGTTTTAACCTCCAAAGAGTGTTGATTTAGTTTATTGTTGAATTTGTTTGGTTTGATTTTTATTGTTGTTTGTTTGTGTGTTTGAAAGAAGATCTCCCACTGTAGCCCAGGCTGGCCTCAAACTATCAGTAATCTTCCTGTCTCAGCCTCCCCAGAGCTGAAATTACAGGGCTGTGCCACCAGGTCCAACTTCCTGTCGTGTTTCAGCAGACGATAGTGTTCATTCTCTGGCTCTCACTCGTGAGCACTTTAAGGCAGCCAGGGCTGAATCGACATAGAGAATCTGGGCCTCCTCTCTATAGATTCTTCCTCTCTGATTTGCTCCTCATTTTCCAGACACTCTAATCATCCCAAATTCTGTCCTCCATTTATTCACACCAGCAAGATGACATGGCCTCTAGGCTTTTGCCACCATTAAAGTAGGGCTGGAATCTGCCTTTAGGATAAAAGACATTTAAAAAACAACCTTCCACCCATTGCCTCTCCTTCCCCTCTCTGACATCTCCCTGCTCTTGCTTACTCTCCATCTTTAGGTCATTCTTTTTTCATTTCTTTGGTTCCTCTGGACAATTTACAGGGAAGAATCTGCCATTGGGCTCACAGTTCCGGAGGACTCAGTCCATAGCTGCTTGGCCTCCTGCACTTGGGCAGGGTATCGTGCTGGTAGGAACACGTGGCAGAGAAAGTTTTTCATATATGGAAGACAGAAACCAGAGAGGTGGGGGTGGGGGGTGGGGGTGGAGGGATGATTCAGTGGTTCAGAGGGAGTGCTGCTCTTGCAGAAGACCCGAGTTCAGCTCCCAGCAGCCAGCCCGGTGTCTCATAATTGCTTGTAACTCCAGCTCCTGGGGAATCCGATGCCTCTGGCTTCTGCAGGCCCCTCTACTCACAGGCGCATACCCCCATACAGACACACACCTAATTAAAACTTAAATAAATAATTTAAAAAGAAAGCAGAGATGGGGGATGGGAAGGTGCCAAGGACAGAATACTTCCAAGGACTCATTGCTGTGACCTTCCTCCAGCTAGATCCTGTCTCCTAAATGTTCTAGAACCTCTAAAAAAGCAGCTCTAGCTGGGAATGAAGCAATCAAAACATGAGTCCATGGGGGACATTTCATATCAAATGATCACAATTATTTGGGGGACAGTTGACCCCATAAAATGTATACCTTGCTAGACTACAACTGGAAAGTGATCAGACAGTCAGGTAGGACATCAAGGGATGACAGCTTTGCGCTGAGCCAGGATGGGGACAGGGAGAACTAGGGAAAAGGGGTTTGTGGTGCTGCAGTGACTACCCTGAACTTTTGTACTATGTGACATTTAATGTGTACAAGGTCAGCTGTATGGGCTCCACAAAATAGTAAGCTGTAAAATTTATTCCTGTACTCCACCCACTTCACACAGACATTCCTTTCCAACCATCCCTCAAAACCCAGCAAATAACCATAAACCTTGGCTTGTGGGTGACCTGAAAAGAAATGGCAGAGCTAAAATGCAAAGAGCCAAAGAAAAAAGTTCTTGACTTTTGAACCCCCAAGAGCAGAGTGCTGGACCCTTTAAGGGAAGGGGATGAATCTCATAAGGGCAGTCAGGGTGAGATCAGACCCTACAAAGAGGGCTTTAGGTTTGGGCCTTATAGATAAGTACTGCTGTAAGAATTCGAGAATGGGAAGCAGGTGTAGGTGTGAGAGGTGCCCACTGGTGCCACCCAAAGGGAGGCTGTGGTGTCTCAGAGACCCTTTGGGGGTACGTTTGGGAGTTGGCCACACACTGCTGACCAGAGGAGCCACGGGTCCAGACAAGATCACTAAGTGACTAGAGAGAAAGATAAAAGTGGGTGAAGAGTGCTCCTGTAGTGCACTGAGGGCCTGAAACGGGTAAAACAGCTACAGAATAACAGGAGGCCCCCCAAAAAAGACTGGCATGGGACAACAAAGTGGGGGAGCTTGAAAAGTGAAGGAGTTAGAGACAGCTGAGGAGGCGCAACCCCAAGTGGTCACCACAGCAGGACCAGAGGATGAAAAGGAGCCCCAGCTTGCTCAGGGAGTTAGGTGTTCACCAGAGAGCCCCACATTACTAGCACCTTCAGCCAAGGGGCCTGTAGAGGTGGGTGGGTCTAAACCAGGATTTTGCCCTATGAATATGGGCCAATCAGAGCTCTAGAAGTAAGCAAGGAGTGTTGAAATTCCATGAAACTTTTATTTATTTTTTTCTTTTAAAAATTTTTGTTTTTTGGATTTTGAGACGAGGTCTCATTGTATAGCCCTGGTTATGTAGACCAGGCTGGCCTCAAACTCACTTGTCTCTGCCTCCCAGGTGCTGGGATTAAATGTGTGCACCACCCACCTGGCTTCTTTATTTATTTTTTAATTTATGTGCATGAGTGCTTTACCTACATGTAGGTAAGTGCACCAAATGTGTGTGTCTGTGGAGGTCAGAAGAGGGCATCTTATCCTTTACAACCATAGTTACAGACAGTTATGAGTCATCCAGACTGAACTGGGGTCCTCTACAAGAGCAGCCATTGCTTTTAGCTGCTGAGTCATCTCTCCAGCCCTGACTCTTACCTTCTTTTGATCCCAGTTCTATCAGCCCACAAGCTTTCTGAATCTTTTGCATAGAACCAGGTGTGATGCACTGTCACAGCCCACAGTCACTAGCTCCTGGGGTGACTGCATCATTACCCCTCCCCTCCTACCCCTCCAGCGATCACCCCCACCCTGAACATCTCACCTACTCTCCAGCTTGGGCTCTGCAGTGGCTCCTTATTGGTCACTCATCTCTGGTTTGCTCCCTGACACATTCTTCTTGGTGCTACAGTGATCCTTCTAAAAGCTTCATAGAGCGCTCGAGAGATGGCTCAGCAGTTAAGAACATTCACTGCTCTTGCACAGAATTGGGGTTCAGTTCCTAGCACCTATATGGTAGCTAACAACTATCTATAACTCCAATTCCAGGAGGAATCTGACACCCTCTTCTGGCCTCTATGTACACTGCACATACATGTTGCACTTACATATATGCAGGCAAAACACTCATAACACAAAATAAAAATAAATAAATAATTTTAAAAAGAAAGTAAGAGAAAGGGATGAAGAGCCACAGGCTGAGCCACAAAGTTGGGCTGGTGATATTATTTTATTAAGAGTTTAGAAGGACTGGGATGGGCGAGATGGCTCAGTGGTTAAGAGCACTGGCTGCTCTTGCAGAGGACCTGGGCTCTATTCCTAGCACCCACATGGCAGCTAACAACCATCAGTAACTCGTTTCAGGGGATCTGAGGCCCCCTTCTGTCTTCCAAGGGCATTTCACAGCACAAGCACACCTGCACGCAAGCAATACACTCACACACATAAAATAAAAATAATGAATAAAAAAAAGATTAAAAAGAGGAGTGGGCAGTGATGAGAGAGAGAGAGAGAGAGAGAGAGAGTGTGTGTGTGTGTGTGTGTGTGTGTGTGTGCGTGTACAATCACCCTGGGTTCTCTGTCCTTTCCAGTACCTTGAAGGCAAGCAGAGGGAATATGAGTTTGTTGGACTGACCCCTGACACAGAGTTCCTCGGGTCCATCAAGATTTTGGCTCCAATGTGGTCCAAGGAGAGTGCCCCCTACGTGTGCCGAGTGAAGACGCTGCCCGGTGAGTTCAGCTGAGGCCACCAGAGCTTGACCCCACTCCTCCCTCCCTGTAACTAAGGGAATGCTTGGCTACACCCTGAGAACCTGCAGTTATTGGCGCTTCATTAAGATTGATTTTTGTTTATCTATAACTGAGTTGTTGGATGGACTGGCTTTGCAAATGTTTAATCCCCACCCTCAGCCGATGCCTGAATTTAATTTTTCTGGCCAGCTTTGTGTAAACTCTGGCAAAGCAAACATACTTTAATATCAACCCCAGTGGCATATTCTGGGGTAAAGGGGTGTGCAGGGGTGTGGGCAACAGAAAATGGTGGCAAAAATGACCTGAGATTCTGCCAGTCTGATAAGGGATTTGGCATTTTGCAATGCAATCCTCCCTCACAATCTGGAAGGCAGGTACTGCAGTCACCCTCACTTGATAGAAGAGGAAACAGAGGTTCAGTGTGGTTACATAACTTGCCCAAAGTCACACAGGTGGTGAGGGATGGAACAAGTCCCAATTCCAGGAACTATGTTCTCAACAATGCATTAATGCACAGATAGAGCCGCCTGATCTGTGAGATGGTGATGTGCCCCCTTCCTCTAGCACACTGAAGCTTGACTCTTGGGGCTGGAGGTGTGGCTCAGTGGTAGAGCACAAGCAAGACCCTAGGTTCCATCTCCAGTGATGGAAAACCAACCAACAAGAGCCCTGACTTTTCTGGAGCATCTGGTCTTTGATTAGGCTTATTTTCTGAGCAAGTAGAGATATCATGAGGCATCAGTCCACCAGGTTAGAACAGGACAGTGACATCACTGAAGAGGATGGTGTGAATCAGTGCCCACCTGAGCTATTATGTTCAGGGGATTTCTGCCAATTGCACTCACCTTCAGAACACAGTTTGAGAACCAGACAACAGTGCATGGCCCAGGGGCACAAGGTCCCTATCTTCAGCTCTGTCTATCAGAGCCCACAACTTACTGGCTTCTCTGCCTGAATCCCAGAGCACTGTCTGGCAGGAGACATGGCTGGGGGACAGCCAGCCCTGGCCAATAGCATGGGGCCCTAGCACCAGAATAGAACCTGGCAAGTTTGAAGCTAGAAATGGAAACAACTCTACGGGTGCCAAGCTAGAGTGTGTATGTGATCTTTGACCTTCGCCCCAATCACACGGGACATGTCACCTGTCCCCAGGCACCCCTACCCCACCCTGCTTCTGGACTGGGGACAAGCCACTCCTCACCCTTCCCTTCCTCATGGGCTTGTCCTCATGTGAGCTGACTGGCAATGCCACACTGGGTTTTATTTGTTTTGGTTTTGGTTTTTTCGTTTTGTAACCCAGGCTACCCTGGAACTCCTGACCCTCCTGCCTCAGCCTCCTGAGGGTAGAAATGACAGACTTACAGTACTTCTATTTAAGACAGCAGCTGCTTTTAACGAAAGCATGCTTTTCTTGATGGATATTTCTGATTGACATATACAAGATACTTTATCCCTAAAATAAACTGTGTTACAAACGCCGCCTGCTATTTATTAAGTTGGTTAACTTTATTGCCAAGCGTTGTGTCAAATGCTTTATATACTATCTAATCTCTATTATTACACATATTACTTAATCTTTACAACAATACTGGAAAAGAGAACAAAGTTGGTAGCATCGCCATGGTTTTACAGAGGAGGAACTCCAGCTCAGAGGTTAAGTACCTTGCCCACAGCTACACAGCTGCCTGGTGAACCCAATTAGCTCCACTTGGGTCCTGAAGCAAGGCTGTAACCACCACCCTACAGATGGTGTACAGCTCACCCTGCCCTTGACCCCATGTCTGGAGCCCCCCTGGAACCCAGAACACCCCACTTCATTTCCTCGGCTGCCTAGGACTCACAGAGTGTCATCCCAGGAGCTTGTGAGAAAGGGCTCTCAGGGTCATTTCACCTTATATATTTTACAGATGAGGAAACTGAGGCATGGTTATATAGTAAGGATGAGGTCTGGAGTCATGCTCATCAACCTTGACTTCCCCTGAGGAGCTGTGTGACCTTGGAAAGTCACTGAACTTCTCTAGGCCTCAGCTTTGCTGTCTGGAAGAGGGGAGCATCTCCATCCTTCTATAGGTTTGGGTAATTTTCTGGGAGACAGGCACCCAGGAAGAGTTCAGCAACTGCTGGCAACTGTTACTAAGAAATGCTAGCCCAGAGAGACTCACACAGCAAGGAGGATGCTCGGCACATCCACCTCTAATGTCTGTGGTCCTCACCCTCAGGCTGCCCGTCATTTCCCTACACTGCCTCCACATGGGTGAAACGGCATGTGGGAAAGCAATCAGAGTCAAGGAATGTCCACATCCCTATCTTGTCCCAGTACAAAAAGTGGTGGCTTCTCGTTAACATTAGGCAAGGTAAAGAGAGACATTTGGGTCATATTTTCTCCCTGGAGCAATGGCAGGGGTGTCAGGTGACAGGGGCTGGTGCATTACTTCAGTGAGAGGCTGACCCAGAACTCCTAAGGTCCTAGGCTGGAGGAGGAGCCAGGAGTAGGCTCCAGGTCCAGGTTCCAAGATTTCCACTATGGTTGATATAAACTCTCATACGGAGGCCAACTGAGGCCATGGGGGGTCATGAAGAGAAGGAGGTGATGTGAAGGGCCAGGACCCCAGATAATGCAAACACGGTGTCACCAGAGCCTCCACCCGCCCCAGCCTCCCCCAGCCTTATACAAGTCCCACTCAGACTGACGACAGGACCAATCACGTGTCCATCCTAATTCACCGGTTGCATGGAGAAAGAAGTGTTAGCACTAGAGCCTGGTCGCTCCCCTTCTTTCTTTAAAAGTGTTTCATTTTTGTTTTTATTTTACGTGTATGAGTGTATTGCCTGCATTGTGAGTATACCCGTGTCAGGCAATGCCTGCAGAGGTCAGAAGAGGGCATCAAATTCCACTGAAACTGGAGTTTCGGACAGTTGTTAGCCACCATGTGGGTGCTGGGAATCAACCTAGGTCCTCTGCAAGAGCAACCAGTGTTCTTAACCACTGATCCAACTCTCCAGCCCACCCCACCTTCTTTACTTTTAGGAAGTGTGGTGCCTTCCCAGGCTCCCGAGCACCAGCCCCTAAATAGCTAGCCTCTTACCTGGATATGGGAGACGGTGGGCAGATCCTCCTCTTGCCACCTACCCCTTCCCTTTGTTTTCTGACCCCTGCCAGGAAAGTAGGATGGTCCTCAGACCCCAGTCAGAAGGGCCCTGCCTGTTCACTGCCTTCCTTCTGGAAGGTCCTGCTCTGATACTGCACACCCCCACCAAGATCTGCCCCCTCATCTGCTGGAATAAGCCTCCAGCAATGGTATCAGATTCATCTAGCCCTGCCACCCTCTTCTAGACTACACTCTGAGTCCAGGGACTCAGAAATTCCAGAGCCTGTATCCTGCATAGGCATACCTCCTGCTTGGGTCAGATACTAGCTAGTGTGCAAAGGCTTGGCCCAAAGGGTGACCAGGTAGTGGCTGTATGTGGGGCCTGAATGAGCTGGCCATGTAGGTTGGGATGTCTATATGCCCAAGGATGACCTTGAACTTATGATCTTCCTGCGTCTACCACCCAAGTGCTGAGATTAGAGGTGTACACCGTCATGTCCTGTTCATGTGGTGCTGGGGACTGAGCCTAGGACTTTGTGCATGCTAGGCAAGCAGTCTACCAACTGAGCTACATCCCCAGCACTGCTTTGGGGATTTAAGGGTGAAGACCTCCCCCTGGTCTGAGAGCAGTCCAGCCCTTTTGCTTGGGACCCTCTGTAGCTGCTCCCAGCTTCATACATCCCTCTCCTGCCCTCTTCTGTAGACCGGACATGGGCCTACTCCTTCTCGGGTGCCATACTGTTCTCCATGGGTTTCCTCATCGGTTTGCTCTGCTACCTGAGCTACAGATATGTGACCAAGCCACCTGCACCTCCAAACTCCCTGGTAAGTCACCCATCTGGGGCCCAAGGGAGCCCCTGGGACAGACAGGGATCTGCCCACAAAGCAGATTGAGCCCACTGTATCCCCTAGAGGAGGTTGACAAAGAGGGCCCCCAGCAGACTCTGGAGTGTGTGAAGAGGGTATGTGACAGTTGGACAGGTTGAATACGATGGTGCACGCCTTTAATCCCAGCACCTGGGAGGCAGAAGCAGGCAGATCTCTGTGAGTTCAAAGCCAGCCTGATCTACATAGTGAATTCTAGGCCAGCTAGGGCTACATAGTAAAACCCTGTAGAAAGAAAGAAAGAAAGAAAGAAAGAAAGAAAGAAAGAAAGAAAGAAAGAAAGAAAGAAAGAAAGAAAGAAAGAAAGAAAGAAAGAAAGAAAGAGAGAAAGAAGGAAGGAAGGGAGGAAGGAAGAGGAAGGAAGGAAGGAAGGAAGGAAGGAAGGAAAAGAGAGAAACAGAGAGAGAGGGGGAGGGAAAAGAAAAGAAAAGAAGAGAAAAGAAGACAGCGGAATTGAAATGGACAGAAAAGCCCTTTGGCTCAATGGTATCCAGGGTGAGATGGGAACGCAGGACTCAGGGAGCAGCAAGGGCTGAACAGTGGGGTCCTGTGGTGATTCAGAGCTCCTGTCTGTTTGAATGGACATCCAAAGTTGAACATGGTGTCACAAGCTTATAATCCCAATACTAAGGAGCCTGATGTCTGAGGAGCTCAAGTTCCAAGCCAGCCTAGGCTGTATAAGAAGACTTTGTCTTAGGAACCCCCTCCCCCAAACAAAATAAAACAAAACAAAATTGGTGTAGTGGTAGTACCTTCCTGTAATTCTAGCTCATGGGAAGTGGATGCAGGATGATCAGGGTTTCAAGATCGCCCTCAGCTATACAGTGAGTTCGAGTTCTGCCAGGACTTCAGAGTGAAACCCTGTCTCACAGAAAGAAGAAACAGGTGCTGGGACTGCAGTTCAGTTGGTAGAGCACTTCCCTGCATGTAGGAAGCCCTGGGTTCGATCCCGAGCACTGCGTAAACTTGATGTGGTGGCCCACACTTGTAATCCTGGCACTCAGGGGAGGTGGAGGCAGAAGGATGAGGAATTCAGGGTCATCCTTGGCTACATAAAACCCTATCTTAAAAACTGAGCCAGGTGTGGTGGCGCACACCTTTAATTCCAGCACTCGGGAGACAAAGGCAGGCAGATATCTATGAGATTGAGGTCAGCCTGGTCTACTGGTAGCTGGGGCTAGAGAGAGACCCTATCTAAAAAAAATAGGGCTGAAGAGATGGCTCAGTGGTTAAGCTCACTGGCTGCTTTTGCAGAGGACCCAAGTTTGGGTCCCAGAACTCACATGGTAGCTAACAACCATCTGTAACTCCAGTTCCAGAGGCTCCTATACCTTCTTCTGACCTCCTTGGGCATTGCATGATACAGGTGCACTTACATACATGCAGGCAATACACTCATACACTTAAAAACAAAAATGATAAGCCGAGCATGGTGGCGCACGCCTTTAATCCCAGCACTCGGGAGGCAGAGGCAGGCAGATCTCTGTGAGTTCAAGGCCAGCCTGGTCTGCATAGTGAGTTCCAGGACAGCTCTGGGGCTACAGGGAGACCCTGTCTCAAAAAGACCAATAAATAATAATAAATAAATAAATAAATAAATAAATAAATAAATAAATAAAATATTGAAAAATAAATAAACCAAAACCAAACAAAAAACCAGAATCCCCCTAGTGGGCAGCAGCCTATCACCATTTTTTTTTTTTTTTTCAAAAGAAATCAGGTTTCCAACTGTAACATGAAATCTCTTAATATTCAAATACCCATGGCACCTAATTTTAATGCTGAAGTCTTTGGGAGCCACATGTCTCTGGAGCCAGCTGTCACCCTCTGAGGGCGGAGAGGCTCAGAGGGCACAGTGTCACAGTCCTGGCCAGCCATTGTCTGCCGACCTCTTCCAGCCTCCCCTACTTCCTCATCCTTTCCCACCTCAACCCCTGAATCAGTCCCTCAGGGCCTGTGAGCCAAGCAGCAGTGTAGGCCGCCACCTTGAGGATCTGAGTCATCTACTACCTAGGTTGTCCATCATCTAGAGCAAGCAGAGCTTAAATCGCTCTGCCAGGCATAACCTGAACTTTAGAAGCCACTACACCTGTTTGGTTGGTTGGTTTGGTTTTAGCTTTCCAAAACAAGGTCTCACTACAAAGCCAAGGCTGACCTCAAACTCAAGATCCTTCTGAATCTGCCTCCCTAGAACTGGGATTACAGGCATGAGCCTCATCTCGCCTTAGAAGCTGGGCATATTTGAAAAGATCTTGAGGGGCAGAAGGGGCAGGTTATGCGCATCTAGAATGGGCCCCAATGCCTCCATCCCTCCCCTTTAGGGACTTCGCATATCATAGAACTTAGAACATGGAGCTGGGGAGATGGCTCCACAGGTAAAGTACTTGTACAAGTGTGAAGACCAGATTTTGGATCCCCAACACCCACATAAATGCTGGGTGAGCATGGTGGCCCACCTGTAATTGCAGTGCTCTGGAGGCAGAGCTAGGGGATTTCCACAGCAAGCTGGCCAGCTAGACTAGCTGAATTGATGAGCTCTGGATTCAAATGAAAGACCTGCCTCCATATATAAGATGGACAGCAATCAAGGAAGATACTCCACATCAACCTCTGGCTTCCATAGGCTTGCATACATGTGTATCCACACATACCTGTGCCCATGTATTCATGCGGCTACATCATGCATGCAATCACATGCCAAAAAATAAAACTTAAAGCATGCCCTAAGAGGTGGATTCTTGTCATCCACACAGAATGTCCAGCGAGTACTGACCTTCCAGCCTTTATGCTTCATCCAGGAGCACGTGCTTATCCCTACCTTGGACCTCAACAGCCCCAGCAGTCGGGTACAGTACTCCCAGGTCATGGTCTCTGGACCTAGAGAGCCACCTAGAGCTGCACAGCGGTGCAACCTGCCTGAGATCAGCTACGTAGAGCAACCAGATGTCTCTACCCTCCGGCCCACCAATGTGCCACCACAACAGACACTGTCTCCACCATCCTATGCCCCAAAGTCTGCCCCTGATGTCGATGTCCTACCCCCATCCTATGCACCTCAGGTAACCTCAGATGCCAAAGTTCTGTTCTGTACTCCACAGCAGGTGGCAAAGGCCCAGCCTTCCTCCTATGCCCCACAGGCCATTCTGGACAGCTGGTCTGCTTCCTATGCTGTGTGCATGGAAGATTCTGGCAAAGACTCTGCTCCTGGGACCCTCTCCAGTCCCAAACACCTCAGGCCAAAATGTCAGCTCCAGAAAGAGACACTGGCTGGAAGCTGTCTCCCAGGGGACCTTTCTCTGCAAGGTGTCACCTCCTTGGCTGAGGAAGAGACATCCAGAGCAAAATCACTGCCCCCACCTCTGGAACTTTGCACAGACAGAGGACCTGATGTGCATTCACTCCACAGTGAGGAGCCAGGGACACCACAGTACCTGAAGGGGACACTCTCCCTCCTGTCCTCTGTCCAGATTGAAGGTCACCCTGTCTCCCTCCCTTTGCACACTCATTCCCCCTCAGACCAGGGACCAAGCCCCTGGGGACTGTTGGACTCTCTCGTGTGTCTCAAAGATGAGGGACAAGTGACCGAGGCCATGAGTCGGGATGCTGGGGCCTCTGAGCTGGAGCAGGCCACCGAGCTGGATTCTCTTTTCAAAGGCCTGGCCCTGACTGTGCAATGGGAATCCTGATTGGAGAATGGAGCAGGTCTGGGCTTCCTCCTTCCCAACCCGGCTAACAATCCCACATCCACCAAGCCGCATGCTTTGAACCCCAGTTCAAGGTGGGTGCCCTGGAGAGACCAAAAGAAGATGCAGGCCCCACATGGAAGCAAAAATGCACAGCAAAGGCTCCTTTGGAGGAGCCATGGGCTAGCAATGTGAAAATGGCCTGTGCCACAGAGCCCGGACAGACAGGGTACAGGTAATGCAGGGCCCACACTAGGACACTCGGCTCAAGGCCCATAGAGAATCTGCTTTCATCAGTTTTGTGGCCAGCTTCCTAATCTAGATAAACTGCAAGTGAGGCATCAGCCTCCTCTGAAGGTGCCTGGACTGGCAGCCTAGGCAGAACCAACAAACCTGTCACTTCTGCCAAGGCTAGAGGCAGCACAGTGGTAAGACTTCAGGGAGGAGTGTGGCTTGAGGCTCACTCCCTGCCAGGGGCCCAATTTGGCTCCCCAGGAAAGGCTTCATCCTGGAATGACTAGTCCACCACAGAGGGAGCTGCACAGAACTGTTGTGCGAGCAGGAATACATAAGAAGGGATTTGAAAGAAACATGGGGCCATGGAACCCAAGGGCTTTAGAAATGTAGCCCATCTGGGTTCAAATCCCAGCCTCTCTCTACCTAGCATCTACATGACTTCGAGCAAGTGAATCGCGGCTCAGACCTCAGCTTCCTCATCTATGAAACAGGGATTATCACACCTGCTTTTGGGGGTGGTGCTGAGGATGAAATGAATGCCTCCAAAGTGCTTGATGGTGCCTGGCAACACATTTCTCCTGTCGTGGTTCTTTAAAAACAAACAAACATATCCGGCAGTGAAGCTGGAGAGAGATGGCTCAGTGGTTAAAGAGCACTGGCTGTTCTTGCAGAGGAACTGAACCCAGGTTCAGTTCCCAGCACCTACATGGTGGCTGACAACTCTCAATTCCAGATGCAGGGAATCTGATGCCCTCTCCCGGCTTCTGTGGTTTTACAACGACATGGTATACTTACAATACATGCAGGCAAAACACTCATACACATAAAATTTAAAAATTGATAAAGTTCACCAGGCATGGTGGCGCACACCTTTAATCCCAGCACTTGGGAGGCAGAGGCAGGCAGATCTCCAAGAGTTCAAGGCCAGCCTGGTCTACATAGTGAATTCCAGGACAGCTGGGGCTAGAAGGAGACCCTGTCTCAAAAAAAAAATAAATAAATAAAGTTAAAAGGCTAGCCACACAAGGAAGGAGTCCCTCCACTGAAGCTGGCTTCAGGCTCCTGGTTATTTTCTCTTGGGACAAAGAGGACAAAGGAAGGACCTTCTAGAAACAGGTCCCAGAGGCAATGGCACAGAACTTCTCCATGAGAGACTGTAGGTGGGATCTATTTGCGCAGAGGCCTACTTTGCACAGAGGGAACCCTAGGCCTCTGTCTGGCCACCCTCCTTTGGACACACAGGGGCTGCCCCACCTGCCTCCCGGCCCTGTGCTACACCCAGGAAAAGAAAGAACCTTTGGCTCCTGGCTGTCAGAAAGCCACACCCTTTATGCCACTCCCCTCTCAGATGGCCCTTACCTGGAAGGCCCAGAGGCCCAAAGACGGGGAAACTCTTACTTGAGAGCCCCACTGCCGAGGCCTTGTTCAAACCTAGGGAAAAAACTGCCCGCCCTGTTGAAATTCTTGGAGGCTGTTCCTGAGAGACAGGTGCCCCCACCATCACCTGCTTGCCCCAAATTTCTGAGACACAACACTGAATTCCATTTGTGTCTTGTGACTCTCCCAAAGTGTAGTGTCCTTTCTCCATACTCGACTATGTGTCCCCTTCTTTCTCCTGCCTCACCCCTGGCTGGGACATGGTAACAGGTGGGGCTCTTATCTGTATGTTATTAATATTTAACCTCTCTCCAAGGTCACTGACCCAGTATCTCTGGCCAAAGGTTAACTGTCTTCACCTTGTTTATCAGTGAAAAGCAACTGAACAGCTGGATGGTTCTCACCAGTCGGTGAGACCAGAGCTACAGAGGCTTTTTTTTTTTTTTAATAAAAGGCTGTAACCTTGCTTCCAACTTTCAGGGCTATGGGGTAGCAACCAAAACAGAAATGAGGGAAAAGTTGGAGTGTCCAAGGAGAAAACCTATGGCCAGCCTCTAAGGGACCCCCAACTCAATATCACCCCACATACTCCTCCCCTGGCATCCCAGACTTGTAGCTGGGCTGGATCAGACTAGAAGGCAGGGAGGGCATCCAGGTCCTCCAGGGGCTGGACAGGGGCCTTGGTATTCCTGAGAATCGTACGCTCCGGCCCCATGACCAGGGAAGTCTCCAGCCCTGCCCAACCACCCAGAGAAAGGTGAGTCTACAAGATGCCACTGCCTACGAGGTGTAGCAGAGCCCAGAGTAAAAAGAATAGCGACCATGGTGCTCCTAGGGAAACAGTCCAAGACCCTAGAGCAGGCACGTCCAACCCATGGCCTACAAGTCACTTGCAGCCAAGGACAGCTGTGAAAGCAGCCCGACACAACTGTAAACTTAATTAAAACACCATGAAATCTTGTACCTTTTTCTTTTTGTAACCCAGTTATGTGGTTCTTTAAATACGAACTTTGTAAATGTCAAAGCTGTGTCTAGAGGATGCTTGAAACCACAGATACTACCAAATCCTGAATATACTCTATTTTCCCCCATACATACATATATGATAAAGCTTAATTTATAAGTTAGGCACAGGAAGGGGGTTGGAGAGACAGCTCAACGGTTAAGAGCTCTGGCTGTTCTTCCAGAGGACCCGGATTCAGTTCCCAACACTCACATGGTGGCTTACATCATCCCTAACTCCAGTTCCAGGGGATCCAATGATCTCTTCTGGTCTCTGAGGGTGCTACATACAAGCGGCGCACTTACATACATGCAGGCAAAACACTCATACACATACTTTTTTTCTTTCGCTAAATTAGCCCATTTATTGTGGGCCTCCACCATCAGCGCTTCTGCTGGTCTTTCAGTTCCTGTCTTCTGACGGCAGACTTGACCGTGACAGCAGAGGGTCCAGGCTCCACCAGCCACTGTTTTCATGCAGGAACCACAGTGCCAGATGCCGACAGCCTGTCTCTTCATCTTGGTCTTGCCACAGAATGAGCAAGTATACTTGACGTGCGGGCTGATTTCAATCTTCTTCACCATTTTCCAGAGGGAGGCTCCATAGCGGGTCCGTATTTACCCACGATTCCCACCTTCTTGGTGCAGTTAGCCACATTGCCATGACCTAGGCCCAAGTCTGGAGAACATACACATACTTTTTTAATTAGGCACAGGAAGAGATTAATAATCACATAATAAAATAGAACAGCAACTGCACACATACAATAAAAGGTACTCGAACACAAGTACGGAGATATCAGTAACCAATCTGACAACCCAAAACGACTGACTGACAGGTGTCCAGCATATACAGTGTGGAAACACTGGACCTCAGGATGATTCACATCCAGGGCTGGTTGGAGCTGAATGATATGAAATCTTATCATGTTACTCAGAATAGCCTGTAACTTAAAATTTATGGATTCTTTTTGGAACTTTCCATGTAATGTTTTTGGACCGTTGTTGATTGAAAGTATCTGAAACCAGAAAAATAAAAACCATGGATGTGGGGGACCGGCTGTAGCTGTATAGTAATGAAGAAGAGGAAGAGTCCAGCCATGTGTCTTGGCATTGCCCACCTCTCAAAACTTGGGGCTGGTGGCTGGGGAGATGGCTCAGCCGGTAAGAGCACTTACTACACAGCTTGAGAACCTGAGTTCAAATCCCCAGCTGAACGTGGCTACACTCCTATAACCCCAGCACGTGGGGCGTGGTCCACACAAGAGGATCCCCAGTGCTTGTTGGCTGCTAGCTTTAACTCCAGGTTTGGTGAGAGACCTTGTCTCAAGGGAATAAATAAGGTGGTGAGTGATAGAGTACGACACTTGCCATCATCTTTTTTCTTTCTTTTTCTTTTCTTTCTTTCTTTCTTTCTTTCTTTCTTTTTTTTTGAGACAGGGAGACAGGGTCTCCCTGTAGCCCCAGGCCCCAGCTGACCTGGAACTCACTATGTAGACCAGGCTAGCCTCGAACTTACAGAGATCCACTTGCCTCTGCCTCCTGAGTGCTGGGATTAAAGGCATGCGCCACCACGCCTGGCCTGCCATCATTTTCTTTACTCTGCACATGTGTATACAGGCACAACCCCCCTCACCCCTACGCATGTACATTCACCACACCCAAAACCAACAACTTGGAGATGAAGCTCAGTTGATAGAGTGCTTGCCCAGCATGTACAAAATCTGGAGCCCTGTAAACTGGGTGTGGTGGTGCACACTGGCAGTCCCAGTATTTATGAGAAAGAAACTGGAAGATCTGAAGTTCACGGTCACCCTCAGCTGCACAGTAAGGTTGAGATCAGTCTGGGCTATAAGAGATCCTGTCTCAAAAAAAGAGAAATGATCCAGGCATGATGGTGTATACCTTCAATCCCAGCATTCAGGAGGCAGAGGCAGAGGCAGGCATAATCACTGTGAGATTGAGACCAGCCTGGTCTACATAGTGAGATCCAGGCCAGCTAGGACTACAAGAAGACCCCCGTTTCAGGAAAAGAGAGAGAGAGAGAGAGAGAGAGAGAGAGAGAGAGAGAGAGATCTGTGGCCACCAGGGGGCAGCCATGGGACCTGAATGGATTACCACTGACCTGATAATCAACCAGGGGACTCAGGCTTCCATGCACCTGAGCGCTGATCACATCAGCAGCTCTACTTTTATTTTCATACGCCTGAGAATCACAGTCACATGTTTACAGAACTGAACAATAATAAAATGGCTGCCCAAATGTTTATAGAACACTGAATAATAACAACGATAACAATAATAATAATAATATAGCTAGACTATAACAATTCAGCAAAATAAGATGAGCACAGCAACATTATCTCCATAACGTGTCTTCTAGGGAGATCAGCATGTCTCCTGAGAAACTAGGGGAGCACAGGCATTCCGGAGAGATCTCCTCAGCAGACATTCTTGCATACACTTTCTCATGAGACACAAGGCTCTCCAGCCCTGCATGCTCAAAGTTCAGCTTAA